CCCTGCTGAATCAATTTTGCTTTCTTTACAACTGTATCCGTGTCTCCCGAAACATCATAGTTTGCCATGAATGAACTCTCCCTTTTGTTTGCAGAGTAAGCATATTGAGAAGCATCCAAGCCATGATCACTTGACATACCAAAATCATCATAGTCATCTTTATCTGAAGCTGAATCAACGGCCATGGCATCAACCTTGTTCAATATTGAACTATTCCCAGTAAAATCAAAATTATAACCATTTTTATGATTATAGTTCAGTTGGGAAGACCTGGCATTTTGCTCAAACTCTTCATCCTCTATATTCTGCAAGATAGATCTTTCCATATTAGCTGATTGATCAATGGAACCAACTGTGGCTTTAACATGACCTAATCTATCAAAAACACTTCCTGCATTTCTACTCTTTGCTACATCTTCAGCGGCTTCTGCAGCAGCTTTGAGTGCCACTGAGGCTGAACCTGGCAATCTTATAGTTGATCTAGGCCACTGAGGTCTTTCATTCAATGTAGATTCCACAGATGAGGACACAACCGAACGAAGTCGCCTCACAACTGGTTCAACCTTAGTGCTGGGCTGCTGGACGGTTTTCACAACATCTCTGACAGCAAACTCAAGAAGCCTCCGAGAGGGTGCAAGTTTTGGCATCGAAGCTGAATTTCTCTGCTTACATATACAATTGAAAAGTTATACATAATCCATTCAACAAAAGAAATGAAAATTTGGGAGAAAATAGCAAATAATAATGTAAGACACTCGACATAACTTCAAAACTATGGCTAGTAGTTAGCTCAGAATGTCAATTGTTAAAATACTTGGGCTCAATTATTCTTTAGTATAGTATGCAAGTTAAGCAACCATCTTCGATCCTTCAAATACCAATGTTGAATCCAAATTCCTTGCAAACTGCCCTAACTTAAAATGAATTTGAATGAAAGTAAGCTTCGATGCAACACTTCAAGGAGAATGGCCAACCTGTCGATCAATAATCTGACGATTAATTTGTGGTCGTGCTTATCCCTGCTCAACACTTCAAGGAAATAACTCCACGTAGGTTTCATAAGGTTGGAGAGTTATAAACATTTTATGTGCCCCCATTACGTGGGAGTGGAGAACAAGAAACCTTGTTCTTCAAGTCTGAAGAATATGAAGATCATAGTTGTCACTGGCCTATTCCGAGCCTAACATCAGAGTAAATAGTGCTGACAAAAATGCCTAATTATTATTCTCCAAAGATGCGTAAAATGATGAAGTTTGGAGTTCATACTGGCATCACTAAACAACAAGCTCAAAAATGGCTCCCAGATGTTACAAAAAAATAATAATTTAACTACTAAAGCCCTAGGGCTTGTTCATTGCTAGAAACATCGACCAGCATCTTGTTTTGTAATAACGGAGGAAGAACCTAAAATTGAAGATGATGATGAAGAGATCGTATACGACGTAAATTTCTCCACTGATCAAAATATAGAAGTTAAGCCTGCACCTGAAGGACAGACCACAACGATGGAGGAGCTGAAAGAGATTAATTTGGGAACTGAAGAGAACCCTCGTCCAACTTAATGCGATTGTCTTTTCTGTGAAGAAAGAGCTGAATAAATAAAATCATAGTTTAGTGAACTCAGGTATTGCTTTGCTTGGGCATATGTTGAAATTTCTGGCTTATCCCCTGATGTGGCAGTTCACAGATTAGCTATTAAACCCGACGCAATACCAATCAAACAAGCTCCGATGCATATAAGGACGGTGATCGAAGAACAGGTGATTATTGAGACCAAAAATTTTATTGAAACAGGCTTCATTCAAGAAGAGAGTATGCCAACTTGATTGTCAATATTGTGTTCGTGAAGAAAAAGAATAGTCAGATTCGTATATGCATCGACTTTCAGGATCTCAATAAAGTGTGTCCTAAGGACATATTTTCATTTCCTACATCTAAATTGTTTATGGATAACACTTCAAATTATGATATGTTCTTCTCTATGGATGGATCGTCAAAATACAATCAAATTAAAATGGCTCCAAATGATGAAAGACATTTATCGATCAAGAATTCAATTGACATTTATTATTATTCAAATATGCCCTTTGGTTTGAAAAATGATGGAGCTACCTATCAAAGAGCAAAGACCCGCATAATTGATGACTTGAACCACTAAAAAATGAAGTGTTATGTGGATGATTCCGTCATAAAAAGTAACGATCGCAAGGGCCATTTGGGATATTTAAGAATTGTTTTTGAAAGAACAAAAAAGTTCGACATTAAGATGAATCCGTTCAAACATGCTTTTGGGGTCTCATGTAGAAACTTTCTAGAGCATGTCCTACGCCATAGAGGAATTTAGATAGACCCAGACAAAATTATAGTAATTATTGAGATGCCTCTGTAGAAGAATTTGTGCCACCCGTTCTCTGTAAGGACGGCTCACATTCATCCAACAATTTATATTAAATCTAACAGAAATGTGTCAATCATTCCCTAAGTAAAAGAAGAATCCTCCTTTCAAATGGGATATAGAATATCAAGAAGCCTTTGAAAATATTAAGAAACAACTATTACAACCTGCAATCCTCGCAACTTCAATTCTAAGGAACCTCTTATTATGTACACAACATAAGAAGACTCTCTCAGACACCAGCACAACATAATGCAGAAGGCAAAGAGTGTGCTTTACTACATTAGTTGAAGGCTCATAGGAGCAAAAGTGAGATACTCTCCGATTGAGAAACGATGACCGGCATTGATCATTGTTGTCAAGAAGCTCCGCTATTACATCCTCTCATAAAAGATCTCTCATTTCAAAGATCAATTCGCTGATGTTTTTTTCTGACAAGATTAATGTTAACAGGTCATTTGGCTTGATGAGCAGTCTTCTTACAATTTGACATCACATATGTTCCCTAGAAAACAGTAATGAAAAAAATTCTAGCGAACTTCATAGTTGCACATGTTCTTCTTGCAAATTCTCCACTTAATAACGATCTACCAGACCAACAAATTCTACTTATTTGAGAAAATAAAAAAGTACAAATTTGAGAACTCTATGTTGATGGAGTAACGTCAATCAAACCAGCCAAATCTACAGACAAACCTAGAGCACAAGTCAGCATTGGGTTTGTCTTCATGGTGTCTAATGTAGGAATCATGAGATATTTATAAAGTTAGATAGAACCCCAAACCAACAATGAGGCTAAATGTGAAGCACTGATTACAGGTCTTGAGATAGCCATAAAGTGGAAAGGTCAAGATCTTCATGCCTTCGGCGACTCTCAACTTACCATAAATCAAGTGTTGGGCACTTATAAGATTAACAAGTCTGACTCAACCAACTATCACAAACGAGCACTTTACGTTATCAAAGAAACTCCACGTCACACTAACTCGAGTTTCCCGAGCTCAGAACAGTAAGGCAATGTTTGGCTAAGCTAGGCAAAAAAGTGGTGGTTATGAATTATGAATATGTGACAATCAATGTTTTCACTCATCGGGTTCTACAACCGACAGATCTACAATCCTCGCTAGAATAAGGATCAAGTTCAAGCTAGCAAAACATAACGCCTGCTACTCCTCACCCTCCCTGACACGTTATGATGCACGCCCAACATGAAGAAACTTAAACAGATCAAGAAGAAATTAAGTTTGAGTCTAAAAGTATCAGCAATATAGCTTCATGGTAGAAGAACATGATAATTTGAGACAACTCGTCATCGATTACTTCAAAGAAAGCAAATAAAAATATAATAAAATGATGATTGCGCAAATCAAAAAAAGGATTTTAAGATATGTTTTTGTTAATGATATTTTGTATCGTAGATTATTCGAGCTGATGTGGTTACGATATTGGGGACACACAAAATCGATAAAGAAGATATGATAGAAATTCATGAAAGACACTGTGGCGCACACCAATCTGGCCAATGAAATGACATTTAAAATCAACATTAAGGGCTACAGCTGGTAGGCAATGGTGAAAGATTGTATCGACCATGCTAACAAATATCACGTGTCAGATCCATGGGGACACGATACACCAACCTCCAAATTTTTCACACCCAACTATAGCATCCTAGTCATTTGTAATGACATGTTGAGATACAGACAAAATTAGGCAAATTGATCCACCCATCATCTAAGTGGCACTGCTTCATTCTAGAACCAACAAACTACTTTTCTAAGTGCACCAAAGCAGGTTCGTTCTTCAACGAAGAGAATGTGATTAATTTTTTTAACCAAAACATTGTTTATAGATTTGATGTGTCACATCGTACAATCTCAGGCAAAGGCTCAGCATTCAAAAATTCAAAATTTTAAAAGTTCGTCAACCAACATGAGATCAATTGATGATATTCATCGATACATAACACAGGCTAATGGTTTAATCTTAAGAAAAAAAAAAGTCTAATCTTAAGAAAAAAAAAGTTTGATAGCTTGACGTAGGCTTTCAATAAGGCGCTGGTCAAGCTACTAAAGAAAATCATCGCCAAAAATAAGCGTGAATAGCATACAAAACTGACGGATGCGTCTTAGGCATATTGAGCTAAAGCCAATAAGACACCCACTAAAGTCATTCTTTATGTATTGTTGTTTGAAATTGAAGCAATCTTGACACTTGAAGTTTAATTGCCATCGCTCCAAGTAACTATCTAGCGCAACCTTACCCAATAAAAAAAATGTTTGCAAATGGAAAAACTTGAAGCGCTAAATGAAGTTAGGATTAAAAACCAACAAAATTTGGAGATTTATCGAGCAAGGATGTCTAAAACTTTCAATTGAACAATGCACCCTCGGCCATTTCAACATAATTAATTGATCTTGGTGTTGAGAAGACCAGTCATTCACTGTCGAAAGGTTTGTGATAAATTTGAGCCAAACTGAGAAGGTTTTTTTTTTGTTATCAAGAAGGCATATCAAGGAGGCGCTTATCAATTAATCAACTTGGTTGATCAACGCCCAATACTGTCAATCAATGGTCAATAACTAAAGAAATACTACAGCTATAAAGCAAAGTTGAAGATCTCTTACTCGTGAAGCTCATCGAGACTAGAAGACATTATTTCTTTATGAAAATTTCCTATTTAACTTCTCATTAAAAAAAATGTGATGCTAAAGTATTGCAAGAATCCCATTGTAAGAGGGGCATTTTTATATATTTTAATTCTATATGAGTTGGCATCATGTCATGAGCCAAGATCCCCAAAAATATTTCATGTTGCTAAAAATTGTCTTGCAAAACATGGGGCATTTTATTTAATTTTATTTGGGCCAACACCATATTCATGCATAGGCCTCTAATTACTTAAGTCAACATCGTGCTCAATATCAAGATTCCCATATGCATTTAACAAACATTATTATCTCCCTTTCGTCAGGCAAGGGAGTGGCCGTTCAATGATTTCCATGCATTCGGGTCAACATCATGCACGAAGTTGAGATCCTCGAATGTGTCAAATATTTTAATATTCTTTTGTCAGACAAGAGGCCCCATTTTTTTAAGCTACATCATGCTAAAGGCCGAGAACCCTAATCACAAAGATTGGCATTGCGCCTAATGTAAAGAGTCCTCATCTAGGTGCGTAGTACTCAAGCGACATCGTGCCTAATGCAAAGTTCCTATCATTTGAGTGACATCATGCTCATGTAGAGATCCCCAAATGGATGCTCA